CTTGAACAGTACAGCGTCTGATTATAATATGCAGGCTGATGAACTGTATTTGCCAACAGAAAATAAACTGGTCACAGTGTGTGCATGTTTTCTTGGCGCCATACCATATACTAGTTTTTTTGTCCTCATGAATTGTAATACATTTCTGGTCAGACGCCAAACTGCCAAGGGTAATTTATTACCCACTGAGCTGGAACATTGTTCTAACAGCATTTACATTGTGGCCTTACATCCCTTTAAGCATGTTAAAATAAGGTCTTATTCTATATTCTTGTCATCGTCAACTCCCGTGAAAAGACCAAAATTCAACAATGTGTCTGTTTCTCAATACTTTTCAACATGTAGATGGACGAGCGAATCTTTAACACCAAATCCTGAAACTAAACTCAGTATTTTGATTCAACTTTTTGCAATCGGACTCCACTGGCTCCCTGGGGCCTGATATGGCAGGTGCCACAACTTGAATGCGAAGAAAGGGTTCCAATTTCAATTTTGTGAAATATTGCTTCATCAAATAACCACCTCATACAAGCATATTCATTTTTTTTTTGCGACATTCAATTGTTTTTTCAAAATTCACGTGTCCATTATTTATTTTTAAGTTTGGAATTTCAAATTGCGCATTAAGCAGGCTAATGGAAAGTCACCTTGTGTTCTGAAAACAACAGGAAGTTAGTTACTGTGGTTTGGCGTACTGATTTTCCTGCTTATTAGCAGGGTCGGCGGTGGCAGCAGCAGCAGCTGTGACACAGAGCTCATGGAGGATATTAAGATACTTTAAAACCCTCAGTACCCAGCAACCACAGTTTGAGTCAGAACTTGACCCCCTTCTTAGTCACAACTCCGTTGAGTAATGAGCTGATGTTGTTTGCAAATAAAACTGAAAAAAAGATGCTCCGGATAACTCAGAATCTTGCCTGAGAATCATGGTGTTTTTAAGGTTTCTTCAGCATCGGAGTAATCCAGTGATAGTTGTTTGTATATTCATGAATACATTGAAAACAGATAGTGCTAATAGCTAATTCAGCACACGTTTGCCAAACTAACATCTCCAGGCTTTAAGTTTATTTCCCTTTATTTCAATATGTCAGATTATCCCTTTAATTTCCTACAACAGCTGGGTGGTTTGGATTTTAGCTAACATAACTCACATACTGTACGTTTGTGTGATCGAGTCACAATAAACTACGGAGGAACAAACTCTATAAGGCTTTGGCTACACAGGCGACATTTTTTTTTTTTATTATTATTATTTGTGGGATCAAATCATCATTGGTTTGGATTTTTTTTTTTTTTTTTTTTACAATAATAAAAAAATATATCTGACAAAACAAACTTACCACAAGCTCATTTAGCAGCTCCAGAACAGCTAATGGACCTTTTGGTCAACTGTAGTTCAGTAGCTGAAGCTGCAGCAGTGAGTGAACGTGGAGTTTTGCCGCCTCGCAGGCTGCTGGTAATGTGACTTTCATTTGCCGCATTTGCCACTTAACTTGTGATTATTTGTGAGGGAATAAATATTTCTCCGCCGGCTGTGTTTCAGCACGCTGTGTGGTCTCACACCTCCTCATTAAATTGAATAATCACATGTATTTCATGGATTGTGTCTCCTCGCTTGGGTGGAGGGTGCAACGTACTGTGTGTCAATATTGTGAGACTGGAGAGTCGCAGAAAGATATTTGAAGGTGAATTTACTGCCTCCCCCCTGAATAATCCTAATGCAGTAAACGTAGATGAAAACAAATCTTTACTCATCAGTTTTCACTGGAAAGGGTGAATCGGTTGCTGACGATCATAGGCGGAGCGAGGGGGCGGCTTCTACGGCTCCATCCCCAGATGTTTTCCCAAAAGTGCAGAGTCTTTTATAAAGTTTATAATGCAGCTAACTTGGTGTCGTGTCCCCTCAGTCTCTCTGACTGGAACTGCAAGTCAGTGGAGCTCTTGTAGCTACTGGGGAAATATCGCCATCTATAGGTCACCTGACAGCGAGCAGAGCCTTTGGGCTTAACGCAAAACATGTGATGGTTTCATTTTCGGCTCCTTTCGTTTGGGCTAAGCCCTAAATGTTTACAATGTCTGGCTCCGCCCCCGTTGACCACAGTGAGCCGAGAGCAAACAAACTATAGATATGTCCCCAGCTGCTTTTATGATAAAAAAGAAGCTAAAGGGTTTTAAAAGTTGCCACATATAGCGAGAAAATCACCAAATGACCAACACGGCTCGGTAGGAAACCTCCTTAAAGGGGTTTATGTGTTGACGAGCACTGGCCTTTTGATGTGGGTTATTTACAATGTGACAACGTTGGAGTAAATTGGTTTTTATTGTTCTTTATATTCATATTTTTAAAATGTTAACATTTGGATTAAAAAAGAAATAGATTTTGTACATTTTTCTTTAGTGTCAGATCATTTATTACACAATGGTGATTAATTCTGATTGGATGGGCCCCCTGCAAATTTTTTTGCCTTGACTCTAGAATCGCCACTGCCCATTGGTATAATAGAACTTCAATTATTCTTCTGTTCAATTTCTGATGATCGAAGAAAAGAAAATGAAAGACGGGACATACAGATTCCTTCATTCCAGCTGGAATGAATTCCCTCGTCCCGGCTGCCGTCGCCGTCTTATAAATAAAACACTCTGTATAGTTCATAATGACTATTTTGTGTTCTGCTGTGCACTAACACCATCACTCATGGAGGAAATGTTTTTTCATGTTCTCAGGAGACTACTTACAAGCTGTGTAGGTTTGTTCTTTGTGATTTAAACATGTGTTATGTTTTCCTACAGCAGTGTAACACAACACAGTCACATGTTACAGTCACATATTACAGTCTGCTCTATGCCGAAGTTCATTTGCGTTGTTTCCTAGTCCGGATATCTGTGCAGCTCTGGATGTGAATGTTTAGTCCTACTACAGACAATCTGTGTGTGATGTGTCTGCGAAGCCTCACACAGTGTGTAAAATAAAGTCTGATTATTTGTGATTATTGGAGGTCGCTCCCCAGTTTACCTGTTGTGAGGTTTGATCAGAGATTAAAATATAATGTTTTTTTTGTTTTTTATTATTATTTTGGCTTTTTGTGCCTTTAATGGACAGTAGAGAGACAGGAAGTGGGGAGGCAGAGAGAGGGGGAATGACACGCAGGAAAGGGCCGTCCGAAGCGGGAGTCGAGCCGGGGGCCAGCTGCAGCGAGGACTGTAGCCTCTACACATGGGACGCCTGCGTAACCCGCTGCGCTACGCGACGCCCCAAAATATAATGTTTTTATTAACTAGAGAAACTTAAAATTGATTCATAAAGACGTCCTCAATGGTTCATTGTATGAAAACTGAACAACCGCAAATTGCGCTAAATGTAGTCAACCGGGAAGATACAGTTACAAACATAAACATGTGTATGATGGGTGTATTTGAGTGGCACTGTTAAGAAAGATAACTTGCAATGTAATGAGTTTTCTTGATGAGGTTTCAAGTCTTCTGGGTGAATGGGAGTGGCCCTGGGTATTGTGATATTAAGAACCCATCTGAAAAGAGGATGAACACACAAGAATGAAAAGAAAAAAAATAAATTTTAATTATTGAGTAACTTTTTGTGATGAACTCGGGCATACCTTTTGACTTGTTAGTGGTGTCATTGTGTATGTACACTGTCCTGTATATACAAGTCTATATGTGATCTTTGCGTTAAACCTGCCTTGAAAACAACCCTGGACCCGAGAAATGCTGTTTACATGTGATTCAATTGCAACAGCTAACAGTTTTGTGGGACACATAATGCTGAACGAATCTGCCAAGCCACAAAAGCTTGAACATATTTGCTAAATGTATATGTTTAAATCTATTTCCTAAACATATTTCATTGATTCTTCTGCAATATGCAATTTTCGAAATACAATATTAACCACAGCATGATTTAAACTTCTTTATGGTGACGTTTAGGTTCATTTGGGAATGACTGTGGTCTTGGTTAGGAAGTGAAAAAGTCTTTAGACAAGACGTGTTTACTTTTTTTCAACATGATACTAAAACCACAATCTTCTTACAAAGTGCTGATCACATGGGATTCAGGATGAAAACCCCAGTCTCCGGTGTCAGAGCAATAGTTTTTGTACGTCCACCAGCTACTTGTATCACCTACCCCTCATACAAAAACAATGAACCATCCCAATGAACATAATCAGGGCAACAGTTACATTTGCGACCATAATGTAACTGGCAAAACAAATTGATAATAATAATAATAATAATAAATATAATACATTTTATTTATAGGCGCCTTTCAAGACACTGAAGGACACCTTACAATGCACAGTAAAAGATAAAAAAGCTAGTACAAGGCATAAAATACAAAAATTAAGAGTATACATGTGTAATTTCTAGGAGACGAGAGTTTTTACTGATTATTGCATTTAAAATGACGTTGCCATCATCAGCCACTGATTTTCGGTTTGCATTTATCAAATGGCTCGATTTCCTCTACAACTAAACCAGAAAGTAAATACAGAAATTTTACATTAGATCTCAGTCTCATGTAAGCGAGTCTACAGGTTTGGCATAATGAGATAAACAGTGACATCACATGTTTTTAATGGTACCTTAATGTTTTTACACCTGCTGACAGAGCTAACTGAACTGAAACGAGGTGTTGTAGTGTATTTATGAGATGATGTGGGATATCCATGGACATGGACTTTATTGGATCACAGTGGTGACCACCATTATGCACTCAATATTGGATTAATACCATCATTTCTCTCCACAATTCCCCCACATCAAATCAAAGCTATATTTGAATATAAACCCATGTTTTTATGTCACAAGTCAGTGGATTTTTCCCAAGGCCATTCATTATGGAATAAACAAAGTGGTCCAAGCGTATTTTGTGTTTGAAGACTAAAACTTTTGTATTAGCAGGTCGTCTTTTTTTGAGTGCCCCCATCTTCCTCTCAACAGCAGACATGTTGTACCAATCTTCCACATCTGTTCATTCATTGCAGGAAGTGATGTCAGTGGAGGAGGAGTCCACTTCCTGTTACTGCCTGATGGACTCGTCGAGCTGCCACCTGCTGCTGGACCAGCCAGGCTCGTACGCCCTGGTGGGCGAGCCCCTGACGCAGGCTGCCGTCAAGAGGCTGAAGCTGGCTGTGTTTGGGAGCATGGAGGGCGGCTCCATGAACTACAGCCTGCGGGTGTACTGTGTGGACGACACGCCACACGCCTTTCAGGTGGGGAAGGACACTTTTTTTTTTTTTTTTTTTTTTTTTTTCCATTCTGTTTATCCAACAGTGGCTGAGTCATGATTGTTTCCAGCAGCTCAGTGTTTCACAGCTTTCCGCATTTTTTCATGAAGATGCTGCGGCCAGTAATAGTGGCTTCAGTAGTAGTTTGGCTTCCTCGAGCTGAGTCTGAGGGTAGTGACTGCTAATTCACAGGGCACAGCTAATTTAATGCTACACTGGTGTATTTAAAAATGGCAGCTGAGGTGGAACGTGCATTTGTGTAGTCTACATCCCCCAAAAGTTCAAAAGTTGTTCCCTCATTTTAGTGATAAAGAGTGCAAAGAGGAGAATACTATTTTCTAATTCTGCCATGCATAAAAAGAGTTGAGTTTATATGTTTTTTTAATGGAAATGACTTCATTAGTACTTAGTTTGTTAACTGTACTTATGTGTATGTATGTAGGTTTTGCTGCAGAACAGTGTGTGTAGTCAAATGTGCAGCCCTTTGGAATAGTGTACACAGTGCCTACATAAGATATGACCTAAAAACTAATGGCAAAACATTTGCAGCAGAGACTTAAAGGTCCATATTTTACAATTTTCCTGTGCTTTATTTGAAGTGTTGATCCAGAAGAAGGTATATTAGTGGTTTTAAGAACCAAAAACCATCTCAATGTAGTTTTACTTCTCCTCTCTCAGGCTTCTCTCTGGAGCTCTAGTAACAACAGGTCGGTGAGCCAATCAGAAGAGAGGAGGCTCTGAGCCTCTCTTCTGATTGGCTGACTGTTTTCTGAGTGATCAACTAAAAATAGATCAGATTTCAGGTAAACACTCAGAGAAATTAAATCCTGCAAGGTTGGATGGTGGGTCTAGGTTCCAGAAGTCCTGACGGCTGGTTTTAAGGCTCAGTCTCTGAACACAGGCTGTGTGCGTTTCTCTGTGGACTGAGGCTTTGATACTTTCATATTAATATGAGATATAAGACATGGAAATCTCCCTTTATACAATAAAAAGACCTTTAAAGCTGCACTAATCAACATTTTTATATGAAGTATGGATAAAGTTACTATGTATAATGTAAAAGGATTTACAGAAATAAACCCACAGCGAGTCACCTGACTCTGCAGGTTCCCTAAGTTCTACAAGGTGTTTTTAATTCTTTTAGCTCATTGTTGTTTTATAGCTCGCAACGTGATTCGTTGTCATTAGCCTTATTTCCAGTGGTAGGCAGCTGTTTTCAGCTAAAGAGCTCTGATTAACCCATTGTGCGCTAGCTGCCCTGCACAGATGGACAAACTTAGCAACTGTTGCTGGTCACAGTGGAGCTTTCAGTATTTAGTCCCTCAGAGTTTAGAGGAGGCTGAACCAGAGCTAAAAAGAGAGTGAATATTGGACTTCCAGTCAGTGAGTCTTCAGAACCAAGATTAATGATAATGTTTCTCTGTGTCTGCTGAATCTGTAAATAGGATTCGTTTGCTAAAACATAATCAGCATATTAAGTTAAAATACAGTAGTCAGTCGGTGTTGTGTTTACAGCGCTGTTGCACTGCCCCCATATGTCCAGTGAAAAAAAACATCTATTGTAAAATGGCTGTACAGAGACTTTAATATATCTGTATCTGAAATAACTTGATGAATTACTTTTATGTTGTTCCTTGCATTTAAAATTACATTTCAGAAATTTAATCCCAACATCTTTCATAATGTCCATCTGGATAATCTGGACAAACCAGCTGTTTTTACAGAGACAAATTGGTTCCAATGGAAATTGTTCAAAATGAGTAGCACATTTTCTGGAAAGTCACACCGCTGTGGAGTTCTCCTTTTTCTTTTTAATGTTATTTTTCAAAGCTGAGAGCACTACAAATGAAATTTCACTCACCTCCATGGTGACAGGGTGGAGGCAGAAATCTCAGATCTCTCCAAAGATGCTCAAATTAAAGAGAGATTATCTGCATGGGTAAACCAGTAAGTGAGACAATATGTTTTTATGGTCCTTGTTGTGGCTTTATCGTATTGTTTTTTGGTTTTGTTTTGTGTTTTTTGAGAGAGACTCAAAAAACTCAGCACTCTCTTTGCAGCTATCCATCACCACTTTCACTCTCTGACCTTTTTCACAAAAACATGAGGATGCATAGTTTCACACTAGCGATATCTACTCTATGAGGAAGTCCATATACTGCAGGTTCAAGGCCTAGATTCAACCCTGAGCATGAGCGTGTGTGGTGTGAGGCAGCAGGGACCTCAACATGGGCTCTCTACCAGTTAAACCATGTGAGTGATTGCAGATTCACTACCACTGCGAAACAATACTTCAGAGCTGATAGACTAAAAGCTTGACAGATTCTCTTTTCACTGGTTTTAATAGACTGAGACAAAAGCAGCCGTACTGTAATCACTGCCATTGAAATGTTAACCAATTATTCTTTTTTTGTCTTGTTTGACTTGATTATCCTTCAGCGACCTATAGGGTTTTTAAGCATTGAGATCTCATCAGTGAACATCAGGGAAATCAAGCTCCCTCATCTCCCCGGAGAAACTAGACTAACAGAAGAGCTGAGCCGAGCTTGAACAGAGCACGCGAGCCTCGTGACTGGCTCTGCCTCCCGACCGCCTTTCTGTCATGTCGCAGCCGTCAGTGGCAGCTGGCTTTAAAATACATTCTGGATTTGGTTTATGAATTCCCAGCCTGCCGAGCAGATGCCAGACTTTTGCGTGTCCCTTGGGCTCCTGTCTGTTAGCACCACAACTCTGCTGTGTGTTTTCCAAGCTCCGGCACAAAGTCAATTACAGACTGGATTCTGGATCAACAGGAAGCCTGACGCAACACAAACAGTCGTGCGAGGGAGACGTTTCCTTGAGCTGAGAGCAAGAGCGCGTTCTGATCAGCAGAGTTCAGGTCTGACCTGAGGTTCTGTGATAGCGCATGATGAGGCTGTCTCTTTTAAAAGATACCTCTTCAACAAGAGTATTTATATCCAAATTGATGCAAATTGAGATATCATCATCTCTTCAACTCATCTTCAAATTAGCAAATAAACATGTAGTGCAAGTCTGAAACTCATCATAATGGTCTGAATATTTTTGATGAATATTTTCATGCCCCTCCACCGGTAAGTGCATTTCCAAGGTCACAGCATTCAGGTCGTGTTGAAGAGACAGTGGGTGGAGGGTTCTTACCTGAAAATATCACCTATTTTAGTATTCAGCTGGCAGGTTTTACCTTCCAGTGTAAAATGCTAAAAAGAAAATACTGTTCACCTCAACCTTTAGCCTCTCGCCTTGGTGAAAGATCATTTCCACAATGTCCTGAATGCTAACATCATTAAGAAGAAACTGTTCATTATAAAAGATGAGCAGTGTGAGCTCAATCAATGATCGTGAGTGACTGCGTTCATTGTGACAATAGTCATTTTGGGGTTCCATATTTCAGAACGCAGCTGGCAGCATATCAGTTTCGGTTGACATTACAGTTTTCACTCAGCTGTGAATCATGTCAAACAGCAGACAAATGAACAGTCACAGTCTACAGAAAACTTCTTTCATGACATGACGGCCTCAGACGTGTGAACATGATCACAGATCCAAGTTAGCTACATGCTAGGCTATACGGGAAACCACGGAGTCCAACCTCATATCTGGAGATCCCAGGTCTGTAAGATAAGATAAGAACTACTGTTAGCTTTTTAGTCTTTTTTTTCCTTTTATTTCACCAGGTTTGAACATAGCCATGTTTCTCTGCTCAACACTTTACAAAGTGTTAATATAATGATTTTTGTCAAGTGAAAAACTAGCTAAATATTCTTTCTTGTTTGATGTGAAAGAATTGCTCTAATATTATATTAGAGCATAATATTAGCCTGTTGATGAGAAAACCACATGATACATAATGTATCCTCTTTAATCAACTGGGACACATAAACCTCTCTTGTGTTGACAGCATCAGCGTGTCATTTAGGCCTTATTAATGTAAACATAAACTATAGAAATAAAAAAAGCAGACTTTCCAGTATTTTTAACTCTAGCTTCGTGCTCATGATCAAAATGGAACAGTACTGTTACTTCATAACAATAAATATAAAATCACCATGTACAAGAAGCTAATCTTCAACAGAACATTAGCTGACTAATGTTAATGTCAGCAAGTTGGAAATAAGAATAAAGTTACTCCATAGAAGGACAGAGGTGACCTTTTCCTCAAGCTTTCAGGTTTGCTTTAAAACCATCACCAAGCGCACACGGAGCTGACAAAGGAAAATACCAGCTGCGCCAGCGGATTGGTCAGATGCTCAGCCTTGGAGATCAGGCAACACTCAGTTTCATTCAATCCTTTATTTTTCTATATAGCTTGCTAATGTTAAAATGATCATGTTAATTTCAGCTGTCAGAAGATAACATATCTAGTAGAACTTGAACATTTGTTCAAGTTAAAGTTAAAGAAAGCCCATTTGTGAGGCTTTCTTTAATTTTTATTGTTTATTTATAGCAGACTTTTATACAGAGGACTCTGTTACCTTTTCAGTCATTGGCTCACAGACCTCAGGTGTAAAGACGTGAAGTCCACAGTTGGGTCCTCTTGAAAGAAATCCAGGTCTGTCTGGTGGCACCTGCTGCAGAGAGCTATACATACTAATAGAACCAGAACTAGTTATTTTCAATATTAATGAATCAATTTATTATTTTTGCGATTAATCGTGTGAAAAATGCCTGTCACAAATTCCCAGAGAATCAGATAATATTCACATTCAAGAAGCTGGAACTTGTGAATTTTTACCATTTCTGATTGAAAAATTACTTAAATGGTTAATTAGTTATCACAATTGCTGCAGATCCATTTTTGTCAATTAATTAATTAATTAATCGTTGCAGTTCTGCTCGAGAACTCATTGCATCGTCATTGGACGAAGCCCAATCCTACATGTTTATGGCGCCGGAAACAGAATGTCTTACTGCGTTTTCACTTGGACGTCATAGCTAACGTCTCTTTCATTTCCTTGCACACTTTTGACATTTTTTTTATGGAGCCAGATATTTTCAAAGGAAACCATGGATTCAACCGGTCCGACGGTCACATTATCTATGCAGAAAATGATTGGTTGGCATTGCAGCACTCCCTCAGCTGTAAAACATGATCTAAGCCACATCAGTCACGTCAGACAACAGATAAGGAAGAGTCACAATCTACAGAAAACTTCAAATAGTGCTTCTTGTCAGCTTCAAATGATTTCAAGCTAAGAAACGTGTACGAGAAAACCAAAGAAATCCAGGGTTGTCTGGCCGCTCGGTGTTTAACAGAGACGGAGGCAGATGGCAGAAGAGGAACGCCATACTTCAGGTCTCTCACTGTCACTCATTTTCCCTGTGATATATGTCTTTACATCTGCATTTTGCCATCAGTTGATTGTTTTCACGCTGACAGCGAAGACAATATGCACACACACACACACATAACGGTGCATACGCTGCGGTACGCACACCCCTGCATAGACAAGCTCCCGCACACACGGACACTTAGTCAGAGTCAATCAGCGTGGCGTGGCATTAGTCACAGCTCTGTTCCCTGTCTTTTCCCTTTGTGATTGAGATGGCTAAGGATAGACGGGCCCGACTCTGAACCATCCCAGCGTCTGGGGACACTGAACAATGATGACAGATGAATACCTGCAAGCGACAATCAAAGTGCTCTTTCATCATCACAAATTCAATTTGGGAGATGGACGTTTGCCCCCCCCCCCCCCCCCCCCCCACCTCTCGCTCTCTCTTTAGAAATTTTAACTCAAGCTTCAATCTGTCATGTTGAGGCTGCAAATGTGATGCTAATGTGAGAGCACAAGTTGTAGGATTTGTTCAGCGGAGACTTGACGTCACTTCTTGGCGGCCTGTTTCTGTGTTAATATTTGTGATGAGGCAATTAGTGGATGTGACAGAGGAAAGGATTAGCAACAGGTGTTGGTGCTGATATTCAAAGGCGGTGTACCTTCAAAGGGAAGGAGAAGGTTCTTGTGTTCTTAGTTTTCTCCTGCACTTCTTTAACACCACCTGTCTATATTATCTTTCTCTCATCCCCTTTTTTTTCTTTCTGACCCATTTCCTTCCATTCTCTCCCTTATCCTGCCTTGGCTTTCCTTTTCTTTTTCTCTCCTCTCCTCTCATCTCCAGGGAGTGGTGGCTGCAGAGAAAACCAGAGGGGGTCAGCTCCTCGAGGAGCCAAAGATGTTGCCTTTCAGAGCGAACACCTTCAGCCTCCAGGTGTCCATCCAGGATGTTCCCCAGTTCCTGTGGAGCATCAAACCCTTTACTACATGTCAGGTAACCATGGCGATAACTGACAAGACATTAAATCAAAACATAGATCGGATACAAAAGTGCTCATGTGTAAAGATCCTGTGTTTGCTGCTAAGAGCTAATTACCGCGGTGCGTCTGTGGCGCTCCTCTTTAAGTTCCCTGATCAGTCAAACAGCGAGAGCAGAGCTGTGATGTGTTTGTGCTTGTTTTTTGTTAATGAAGTCAGAGATTGTGAGGTTGGTACTATACTGACTTTGTGTATTGTGTGATGCCTTCTATTATAATATTTATAAATATTAATGAACCCTTGACTGATTACACTGAATTAAGTTTTACTCGGATTCTTTGGAAACGATGACGTAGACTTCCACCGTCGCTCCCTGATTGGGTGTCATCTGCCTCGACTACAAGTGGTGAAAGCAACATGAATCGTGAACTACAAGTGTTACTGACCTCGTTGTTTTTGCTAGCAACTGTTGTTCAGTTTAATTTGGAACTTTAATGCTACAGCTGTCTTTGCTGTTCATCATGCAAAAACTTACATATAGCTCCTTTAATTACATAATAAGAACAAGAACGTTAACACCATTTTCCTTCAGTTTTGTTTCCTACTACTGTACCTGTAGCTAACCAGTATTTACAAAATACTTTGTGTATAATTTATCTCTTGTCTACAGTCATGTTTTCTAACACTGTATCTACAGTTACCAATAACTGGTTATAAGGAGACAGTTATTATTATTATTATTGTAGGGGCCAAATGTGATGAACCTTTGTGTTACACTTAAAAATGTATTTTTGTGACAATCAAAAGTGCAACTAGACTATAAATGATAATACACGTACTGGTTATTTCAGTGGAGTCTCTAAATTCTGTCCTCAGCAGTTAGTGATATGTTGATGTGAAGTGGAAAAAGTTTAAAAACTGACATTTTCTTGATTATGAAGAAAGAGAGTTTTTTCTCTCCACTGTCACAAAGTGCTGCTCATTGTGGAAACTGCTGGGATTCACTCTGTAATAGTGTCACATCTTGACATTACCCTGTAAAGTGAGATAATGTATGTTATGATTTGGTGCCTTACAAATAAAGTTGAATTAAATTGAACTGAATAACGAACTGATCAGAGCCTGATGTCATTTTGACACAGCCATCAGGCCCAACTCGGCGTCTGTTACAGTTCTGATTTATCTGTCTTTTCTGTTTAGCTCATTCTAAACTGCAGCTAAGCTAGTCAGATGCTAAGTGACACAGCATCAGTCCCCTTGGCTTTTAGAAAACAACCTTCACAGACAGTTAGGCTCTGATGTTTTGGTACCAGTTGTTGTCACATATGCTCCGACAAAGAAGACAAGGCAAGTCAAATCTGAAAATAATTTCTTCCGAGCTCATAACATTCGTCTGGTTTTGGCTCGCTTTTTCTTCCTGTTTGTGTGGAAGCATTTTGTGCTTTAAAAAAAAAAAAAAAACGTGAATCCTGCTGTCACCCGCATTTCTCACATGAGGATCATGAAGACGGACGTGACTTGAGATTAATAGCTTGTTGTTTGTTTTGCATTAAGATGCAAACGGCATTAGATCGAACGCGCCGCAGCAGTCGGCGAATGCTGTTTTGTATCTGCGCTGTGTCCCCACTGTACTCTGTTGGTGCTTAAAGATCTGAATGCGGGGTGAAAGCTCTGTGTTTCAAAGACACCCACCCTCTCCGCGGCCTTATTTATGAGGGTTTTGGGATGGCAGGCAGGAAGGCACCGGGAACCTGCTCTGGTGGAGCAGGTGTAGAATAATAGCCGAGCTTCGTGCCATACATCAAGTCAGCTTTTAGTGCTAAAGAGCATTCGAGCTTTCTACGTCTATCACCCTTCTCCCTCCTCTGCCATCACCCTTCCCCCTCCCCAGACTCCATTATCTGCTGCTGCGAGCTTCATTGGGCGGCCGAGATCAAAGCCACGAGGGTTAAGTCTTCAGTAGGCACACCGGCCGCCGCATTTGATGCTGTGGTCTTCACTAGGAATCATTTACAGGTCACTTTTAATATGCAGATAAGGCAGAGACGATGTCTAGCAAAGGTCAAGGATATTTCCCCACAGATGTGCCCGTTCTCCAGAAATTAATTATACATCAAAGGCAATCTTTTTCTCTGTTCCCCGTATTCCCACATATATTGCTTACAGTACGCAGCCTGCAAGCCGCTTCTGCTATCAGAGCTACTGTACAGGAGATTCAGTGTTTGTAAATGATAGAAGTACGTCTTCTGTCTCTCTTTAACAATAGTTACTTTCATGAATAAATATACGTATCAAGCCGTGGAATCGGTGAGACTTCAAAGCCAACGCTTACCTTTTAATTCTGCTGTGTCAAGTGGCCGTGCACATGACAGTGTGTTAACATGTAGGACAAGGAGCTGAATCATCTCATTTTGAGCATATGTTAACATTGCTGTGTAGTGAGTTATGTCTCTGATGTCCCTCCTACTTCTTCTCCTTCTTCTGCCACCTCAGGAATTCTCCTTCCCCCAAGTGTGGTGCAGCAACCAGCAGCCCCTGCACTGTGCCTTCTCTCTGGAGAGATACAGCCCTGCCACCGCCCAGCTCTCCTGCAAAATCAGCGTGCGCCAGGTCAAAGGCCACGAGCAGATTCTGCAGGTCTACACGGCTGTGGCCGAGGTGAGGCTCTGCAGCTGTGGGAGGTTGGGGGGTGGGGGGTGGGGGGGTGCTTCACTTTCTCACTCAACCTTTAAGTAACCTTCCTGGAGTGTGTCCACTGAAAAGCAGGGGCCAGCTCTCCTGAGCTTGCATTGAGTATTAATAGAGAAAAGAGGACACACTTACTTTGTTTCTTTCTTCACAAATTTATGTTAAACACAGAGACAACAGAGATCCAGCTGTTTGCCATGTTTACTGTACTCACCACCTCCCCAGTGGGCTCACACTTTTGGACCCCACTGTATATACACACACACACACACACACACACATATATATATATATATATATATGTATGTATATGTGTGTATGTGTATGTTTTAACCTTTATTTGTCCTCGCCTGCTTCACAACAACAGTCCTCTGTCGGCCTGAGCAGCTCCACTGGAGCTAGGAGTTAGAATTCCTCAGTCCAGAGCTCCTGGACAGTCGTTGTTAAGGCAGAAGAGAGTGTAACTTATTGATTTTACCAAACTGCTTTTTCACAACCAGTAACAGACATGCCTGTCCTACCTCAGAGCCACAACGCTACTTGAATATACGGTGTTGCAGTGAGACGCAGGTAAAATATTCTCTGCAGTTACATTTTATTGTTTATTATTAGTATGGATCTGTCAGATAGGAAGAGGACATGAAAGCTGTGAGATGAATTCAGATCATCCGCACATTGTTTTTGACTCTTACAGTAAATAGACATGATCATTAGGAGGAGAGTTTACACTGTTTTACGTCGTGGGTGACCAGGCTGGATCAACACAGCAGTCTTTCGAGCTGTTTTACGCCAACATGAGTCAAATTTCAAATTTTAACCAAATTTTCTAGAAAATCAGAAAAGAAAATCTAATTTGAATCAGTGTTTACATCCACTGCTGTTCTGTGAATATGAGTTGGGTTGGGGACACAGTTGGTGGAGCTAATCCTCCAGTCGGGTGCCATTAAACGGTTGAAGAAGAAGAGTGTGACTGTCAGACCTCAATCAAACAAAAACAATGTGGAAAACATGATGGAATTATAGTTTCTGTTCATTTCATATATTCATTTGAGGAATGTTACAGTCTCCTCATGGCTCCACACAGATCTGATGTTTTATCGATTCCACCTCAGCCAAGCCTAAAAACTTTTTTTTTTATATATATATATATTTCAGTTTTGTTTTGATGGAGGTTTTTTTTTCTCATTGTTTACTTTTTTTTTTATAAACACAAATAGAAAAAAGCGGATATACAGAACATGTACATATTGTTATCCTGTCACTTTTTTTCAAACAAATCAAGTTTGAATTCATGTTTGAACTAACATGTACTTTCTTCAAATTCCTTTGAATACATCCCACATGTCTTACTGACGTTACTGTGAGGCCGTAACAGACTTGCTTTTATTTTTGAAGTCATAATTGCTTCTTAATGCCAGTTTTCTCCATTCTGCATTAGCAAAGAAAACAACAATAGTCTGTCTCACTGATGGGCAACAGGCCACGCAGTGAGACAGCCTTTTACGAATTTGAAGAGATGATTACTATTTAAATTTTTCATTTTTTTTCCCCCATGTGTCTTGTTCGGAATAAAACGTGACAGTGCCATCTCGTGCGTTTCCATTACACCGATTTCATGGCTCGCAGCAAAGTTCAGCCAATTTCAGCTCTGGCCAATGAGATAATAACTGTTAGGTTTATGACTTGAAAGCGAGCCATGATAAAAAAAAAAAAAAAAAATTGGAAAAGAAAGAGTTAATGCATCTCCACTCTTCCTGATTAGTTTTACTCATCTTCTTTTCTGAAAGAGGATTAACTTTGCTTCATTCATGTTAAGGTGGAATTCATAGTTAAAATAAGTAAAAGTACGCTACAGTTTGCATCGACACTCTGCTCCGTGTCCCGCCCTGCGCTGAGTGCAGTGTGTAGCGTTTGATCATGTGCTGATTTTAGCCTTGGATTCAGTGAAATTTCTCCAGCACAAAATGAGATTTCACTATTTCCAAACGGAGCGCATCAGTGTTTCTGTTGGCCGACTCAGCACATCCTCATGGTCAATAGTGAGCAAAAGAGAACTGCAAGTCCAAGGCCAGGTGGAGATTGTGCTAAAACAGGATATGGATGAAAAGTTTTCAAAACAAAGGCGTAAATGTGCATTTTCTGCCAATTAAATAAAAATGAAACGGCACATCAGTCTAGAAATAAGTCCACTGGTGGTGCTGCGGTGGGATGTTCCTCAGCTGTTTGTGGTGGAGTATCTGCCGGACTGCGATATGGGACCTAACAGGAAGAGGGCGCTGTTTCTCTATCACAGAGAATCCAAGCACCAGCATCAGGACATAAAGCTGTGGGATTTAGGAGAGAAATGTAGTCTCAGAGTAGTTTTTAATGACCTTAAATCTTATATCTGTAGACTTGAAGGTAAGATGGAGGCACGTTCACCAAAGCTAGCCAATGAATGAGCTGAGATAGAGTGGTTTGGATGAGTGGAAGAGAGGAGGTGTTCTTATGTTTGCAAACCAACCAGTCATTGGTGGAATCGGTCCATCCATCTATAACTGATCACAATTCATACTGACCACAGCCTCTGTTTACTTAAAGGACCAGACTCCAGCCATTTAAAGCCACTTTTTAAGTTTGCGGGGTTGTCTTTTCGATTTTCAAAAAATAGATATAGCTTTAATTCTGAGGAGACAGATTCTACCAGATGTCCACGCCTTTGTCTTATTTGTTTACAGACTATGTACCGATGTTTTAAAATGTTAAACACACCTGTCTGAATCGTCCTGACCCACTAAACCTCATCCATCTGGCTCTCCAAGCTGGTTAAAACAAGCACAAAGTGACATTTGCAAATCCTTTCTGAACTCTGACTGATTATAAACTGTGTCTGTTCCGTTCCTCCAGACTGAAAAGGAGTCAGTTCCATTTTTTATGCAGACAGACTGCACCATCACGTCCCAGACGGGGCCCAAGGCCTTCAAAATCCCCCTGTCCATCCGCCAGAGGATCTGTGCCACCTTCGACACTGCCAACGCCAAGGGCAAGGACTGGCAACTCTTAGCCCAGAAACTTCACTTAGATCGGTGAGCGTATGATGTGCATCCTCGCTGAGACCGAATGGTGTGTGTGTGTGTGTGTGTGTGTGTGTGTGTACCCATCTCTCTCCGTGTGTGTTCCCGCTGAGAACACACTGACGAGAATGATAACAATCCTGTGAGTGCTGTTCACCTCCTGAACGTGGCTTTATGTGCAGCTTGTTGCCGGGTACCTTTTATCCTTCATGGTCTCTCTCAGCAGAAGGTGACGGGACTGATTATTTCACTGTAGAGCACATTGCTGATGTTGTCTGTCTTCTTTAGTATAATGCCGAAAATCAAATGCACCTCTGACATTTCTGTCAGTGTCGACCAGATCGTCTAACGTATACGTTCGCACGTACTTATAAATTGATTGTCCCTTTTTATCTAATAAAAATATGCATTTATAATGAGGCGCTGTACTAATATTGACTCAGACCAGTTGTTGTCTTTGCTTGGCTTTAGCTTGTGGCAGCTATAATCTCCTGTTAAGTGCATGATTCATGAGACGCTGGTATCTAAGAGTCCTTTGGGATTCCAAATTATCCAGATAAGCTTTCCTCTCCAGTTTGAACGGCTTTGAACTGAGCCTGATGTGACCAATGGCTGCAGCCTTTTATGTTGCTTGTTGTTATTTCTCTTGTAAAGTACCAAGGAGCGGCAGTGAAACACTGCCTCCAACTGGACATGACACAGATAGGAACTGTGCTGTATTGGCACAGCAGCATGCTCCCTTTTCTTTACCTTGGCAGCAACTGAGAATTAAATCCAAACCAAACTGTGTTCGCCAGTAATTATTCATCTTTTCTGATGATAATATTTACTGATTATGTTTTTAATAGACTTAAAGGTCACACTCTTTGTTTTAGCTGCATGTAAAATCAGATAGTTGTGTTTACAGCACCAGGGTAATCCAATTTGTGTTCAATTAATTTACAGTTTTAAACAGATTAGTACATTTGATAATAGTCAACTAAAGGGACCCAAGGACCCATATGGGTTTTGTTAATATTGATTTAGTATTGAAATGTTTTTGGATTGTTGTGTGACATGTGGTTAACCATTTTTCTACAGAGCATTCTGTGATTAGCTGTAAATCCTGACAGATAAAATCTTTTCCATCATGCTCACGATAATGGATCCAGTATGTTAAATATCTGGTCTTGGATCTTTTATTGACACCTCCTGAGAAACAGATTTCTCAAACAGTAATTATTTTGTATTTATCTATGCTGTGAAGTTTATTCGAGTCAAAATGTTTAATCATTTGAATTTTTCCAAAGTAACATAACAATAATTATATTTCAGTTATGTCATTTACACCATTTAAATGTACTTTGTGGTATTTAAGGTGGCCGCAAGGCAACCACCGACAAATCAAAGTACAGCATCACACTGATGCAAAAATGATATAAGAATCCTAATTTGTCAAAAAGCACTACTGCTCATTGATATCTAACACTCCCCACCTATGTGGCTGAGCCACAGAATAAATGGTGGCTTGACACTACATGATAAAGACAAAAACATAATTAAACACACTTTAAAAAATATTTGACTCATCTCTGATAGTAGACAGATTTATGTATGTTGTCATAGTAGCTGTATTTGTTGGCATGGATATTAAACTGGTGCCACCTCCACAATAATCCAGGCTGAGCCAGAAAGCTGCTCTGGTCTCAACAATCCGTATTTCTCCGATGGAAAACCGTCTATAAATCACTACATGGATAAACGACTAAGATGACACAAGCCTGTTTGGACTGCACTCACACCATAATCACAGTTAGTCAGAACAGCTCGTCACTTGTGTAATGTGGATCATATTTACAGCAACATTTATTATTTTTCCCTGTTTAGTGTAATTTGATCTGTTGTCTGTTGGAAGGCTACTGTGCACAGTATGTATTATTATATATTGAACATCATCATACTCATTGTTGTATTTCACACACTGACTGGGTCCTTCCACTAAAAGATGAGTCTGGTGATTATTTCCAACAAATCCCATGAAAAGACCGAAGCCAAAAATGAATGTATCCCATTAACAAGTGCTGTGGTGTGTGTGGTGGTGTGTGTGTGTGTGTGTGTGTGTGTGTGTGTGTGTGTGTGTGTGTGTGTGTGTGTGTGTGTGTGTGTGTGTGTGTGTGTGTGTGCGCGCTGACCACTGAACCACTGTGCTGACCTCATGTATCCAGTGGCTGATGTATCTCCTTCCTCTGAGCCACAGAGCTCCACTGTTGTCCAAAAACTATTAAAAACACATCAGTTAGCCACAGCGGAGCACTGGGTGAAATGCTCCTTTATTACCATGAACACATACACACAGCTTCTTCTTTTTTTTTTTCAGCCTGAAACATAGACTCATCATCCTGTTGCCACATATACTCACTTGAAGACCAAATGTGTGTTAATCCACAGCTGGAAATGCTCAATTCACCAGTGTTTGGAGCAATGGTTCCCAGCCTGTGCTGGGCAGTGAAGGTATTGCAAGTGTGCCGACAAAATCATTTGCAAAACAGTACAGCTTCGGTGATAAAATGTATTAATGAAAAAAATATATATCAATGTTTTTAAATGTCCTAAAACGAAATGATCTTTAAAGACAGCTTTACGGCTTTAAAAATGTTTTAAACTTGTTTCTTGTTTTCTATGGAGGCCTATCACTGTGATGTTAAGCCAATGATAGGAACTTTTAAGTCGTCGCCAGCTGGACAACATCTTATACTTATACTCGTATACTAGTATTGTTAATGGGTCGGTTGTGGCCCCCCAACATTTTTTAAGATTTTCAAGTGGGAAAAGGGTCTTTTCATGAGTCGGAAAAGGTTGAGAACCGCTGTGTTAATAATTAGTAATGTTTGATACAAACTACACTGCCCAGCTGTTTTAGGAAATTACTGAGCCTTTAAAAAATGAAATAAAATGAAAGCATGTATTTGTGGCCTGTTTTAAAAGATCTTCAGGTTGATCCAATGAGCTCGGGGCTGGTTGTCACAGGCGTGGTAGAAGAGTCAGTTGAAGTGTTGAAAGATGCACAAACACATTGTTGGTTTTGGTCTTAACATGGGATTTGTGTTAAAAAGAAAAATCCTTGAAAGTCCACAGTTTTATGGAACTACAGGCTATGTTTTCTGCGCATCAATATCACACTCAACACTCTCAAAGGAAAATACAACAGATTGCGTTTGACTCATGTCTTTTACAAAATAAATAAACACATAATCAAGAGGGACTCTGTCCATATCTGAGGCCAATATTAAACAGTTTTCCCCTGACCTCCTCCTGCCGTCTCCATTAATCCGGCTTTGTGTGCTCCTCTGCAGAAACCTGGGTTATTTTGCAAAGCAGCGGAGTCCGTCTGCCGTCATACTGAGCCTGTGGGAGGCTCGCCACCAGGACACTGCTGACCTTGACTCTCTAGCCAGCGCCCTCGAGGAGATTGGCAAAATCCACTCCAAAAGCTCCCCCAAGGACCAGGATGAGCCGGAGTCTGACTTCAATCACATACAAGCGGGCAGCCTGTGTGCGACGGGCGAGCTAGCGAGTGAGAAGACGGAGGACTCTGCTCCTGAATACACAGGCTGAGAGACCAGAGACAGTGAGTGAAAACTGACAAAACATATGTCTGTGTACGCGCACAGCCAGTGATGGACAACACACTGCGGCGGTCCGCTGGAAGGTCATGAGGTTGTCGGTGAGTAGACGGTGCGAGCAGCCAACGTGCCGACCAATCACAACGGGTCGCGGTGAGCTGTCGCCTGCTGTGGATCCACCCCTCTCTTTTAGGAATCTGTCTGAGGATCGACTGTAAATCTTCTTTCTGCCCTTCCACTCAATTTTTAAGTTCATTTTAAGTTGAATTGTTCTTTTTTTGAAGTTAAAGATTCCCCCTGTATATTCATTTCCAGCTGAGAGGGTGAGTGGGAGAGGAGGGTGGGGAGCGGGTTATTTCCTGAACGCTTCTGTCAATTATTTAATGAATGTGTGTTAGAAGAGACGAGAGCTCCTTTTCCCCCCCCCTGGACGGTCCCCTGCCATCTCCCCTCCTTTCCCAGCGGTCCACACGGCAGCTGGACATATTTGCATAGAGGTTCTTGTATGCAAATAAGATGATACAACTGTGGCATCATTTCAGAGTCACCTGTGTTTCAATCTAATTTCTTTTTTTTTTCTTTTTTTCAAAATCCCCGTGTCACAGAATGAATGAGGACTTAGAAGCTACTTTTTTGATGTCTGATATATTTTTTAAAGGAAGCTGCTGATTGCTTAAATGTTGTGATTGTGAACTTTTAAAGCCAAGTATCTTGAAATTCACTCATTTTCATCTCTTAAAAAAAGATTTGTTCTGTAGGAAATTTGGCACTTCTGATAGACAACCAGTTTAAAAAAAAATATATATATATATATATATATATATACAGTTTATATACATATGGAGGAGAGTGTCAGTATTTCAAGAACATGAGAACCATGTTGATGAGACATCCTGAGCTTCAGATGTTCTGAGTTGTAGCACTGCAGTTCCCATCATGCTTTGGGTGAACCAAAGCAAACAAAATGTANCACCCCCCACCCCCCCATCTCCAACACATGCAGACACACACATTGACATTTCATGGCCACAGAGGTCATGTGCACATGTGCTGGACGTATTGTAAAACAAACAAATAGAAATTGAATGCTGATGGTGTCGGAGTCAGAAGTACAACTCATAAGTCAAGTTTCCATCCAAACGTGTCACAAACTTTAAACTGAACAAACTGAATTTTCAGAAACTTGGCAAAAGCAAATGCTAACTTATGTCTCCATCCACCTCTGTAAGCTGTAGGTGGCGCTAACTCTCCAGTCAGGTGCCGTTAAACCACTGCAGAGCAAGAGGCTGCAACGACATGACCTGATTAAAAGAACAAGGGAAATTCCTGGTGTCCTGTTCGTGTTCGTTTCTTGTATCAATTCAAAGGAAGTTGTAGGCTCCGCATTGGTCCCTATGTCTCACCATCAAGCGGAACGTTGAGTGACATGACTAAGTGACTGAGTATGATAATTTTATCCTTCATCATTTATTCGCTGAATCTGTTTCCATTGCACTGAGTTGCATTTGCCTTTAATTGATACACCAACTTTTCCATGCTACCAAGGATAAAAACTTTTCTTTTTTTTTCCCGAATGGAAACTTATAGTCACATCTCTGTTCAAATCAACAGTGAACACATATCACACTGAAAGAATGATAAATATAACAGAAATATATCAGAAAAATGTCTCTATTCATGTCTATTTACCATTACCACTGAGGTGATGGTAAATGAAAAGTTGGCAAACCTATAGTGCTGTATGACCTTATGTATTGCATCATTATCAAGCAAGTAGTCACTGAGGTAAACAAGTTGTGATATGTGTAGCTTTAGAAAACTATTAAAGTTTTAACCTTAACTGTCACTCTGGTTTTGTTATTGTACCCAGCAACAGTTGAAATGACTTCAGGAGAAAGGTACACGTGTTCATGAGAGCTGTAGTTTTTTTTTTTTTTNGGCAGAGTGAGATTTGTAACCGTGGCATTACAGTTCATTACAGTTTGCTCCACCAAGAGATAGGGAGGGAGGAAGCTGTAAAACATCATTTCCTGGCACCGCGGGGAGCGTATCGCCACGTCTTATCATCCAATTCCCACCATTAACACTCTTCACATAGACCTCATATCAGGCCCCCGACACACCCGACTGCCCCCCTCCTCAAACCACCTTCACCCCC